AAAAAGGAAGGTCACACTGTTGGGCTATGTGTTTTAGTGTTTTGATCCTTTAACTAGTATGCAGAAGTGCTGTAGTTTTTCTTAAATTTACATTATTTTGATGCCAAACTTGAACTTTTGTTATTTTCTTTTCCAAATCTCTCCTAGTGTTTACTTCCAACATTTTATTTTTAGGCACTTCTCACCTAGTGCTTGCTTACTTCATTTTATTCAAAGACACTTTTCACCCAATGCTTTCTTATTTCTTTTTATTTATAGGTACTTCCCACCTAGTGCCTACTTCCTTAATTTTTTATAGGCACATATCATCTAGTGTCAACTTCTAATGTTTTATTTTACAAAGATACTATACATTATTACTTATTCTCATTGTTTTGTGTATACTATTCTTGATAATGTTTTTTATTTTAAATATATTCACCTATATAGAGAGTGAAAGTTTATTCTTGTTTTATTACATACTTTTCTAGTGCTTATTCTTATTGCTCTATTACACACTTTCCTCTTTTCTAGTGTTTATTTGCGTTGCTTTACACACATCCTCACCACCAGTGTTTCCTCTTTACTTTGTTATACATACATCCTTTTTCTAATTTCTGTTCTCATTATGTTACTGTACAAACAACCTCTCTTCAAGAGATTCTTCTCATTGTTTTATCAAACATACGACACCTTCCATAGTGTCAGTTCTAATTACTATATCACAGAAATATATCTTTCTTGTTTTTCCTAAATAGGCTTTGCCAGTAAGTCGCCCACAGACAGCCCAGGTTTCTCGTCACATGTCCTTACCTCCAGGAACAATTCCTCCTGAAGGATATCGTCCACAGAAATATGACAGCAGAACAAGGCAGATGTCTTCAGATGGCTCTTCTGAGGGAGAACTTGCATCCCATGCTCATAAGAGCAAGGACAGAAAAGGCGTTTTTAGAGGGCTTTTTAAACGAAAGTAATTGTAGTTTTATCCCTGTCTGTGCTTGTTGTGTATATAGCTTGATTTTAATATGCCTTTTTGTTTCACTATAATTTTGGTCAGAATTGTATATAATATTTTTACTTCAGATTGCCATGTGTAAACAAACATTAACTTCATATTATTTCACTAAGGTGAATTTTTTGTATTACATTAGTAATAATAATAATGCAGCATGGCTTGTTTTAGTTTCTAGCAGACTTCCTTGGGCAATAAAGTAGAATGTTTTTCTCATAAGTCTATTTTGTGGAACTTATAATGATTGTTAATGGGTGTCATGAAATAACTTTATAGGTGTTACAAGGAAACATTTCTTATACTTAAGCTTGACATATTACGATTACTATTAGGATAACCTAGCCAATTTGTTACTCAAGCGTTAACCGACCTAATATTCATATATATATATATATATATATGCTGAAAAAGAACTTCTTATGATACAGTACTAGAAATGTCAGATTTGATAACTAAAATCATTGTATTGATGCTTTGTGATTGAAATGTTTTGAAGAACAGCTACAGAAATGAAGAAGAAGAAAAGAAGGCATTTTTTTTTACTGCAGGACAGAAAAAACAAACCGTTTGTAAAATAAAACTATATTGGAATGATAGCTTTTGTTATTTAGCAGTCCAGTATACCTACTGAAATAAACTTCTTGGTGTGGTTGTTATTTTTCTGTTTGAAATATTTTTTATCCTAACTATAATGAGATTACATATGTATATATACATAAAAGTATTTAAAATACCTTGTATGTTTCAAGTATTTTTGTAACTTCTCTTGTGTTTGATACAAAAGTGTCACATGAATGTACAAAATAACACTGAATAACTATAAAGTAAAGAGATTATGAATTTGGGGTGATTTTTGTTTAGTAGAAAGGTGTATCTAACTAGAAGCTGTTTTCCATGTAATTTTAATTTTATTTGTTTTTGGTGTTTTTTTACATTAACATTCCATTTTACTTCCGTCCTAATTTTATTTCCCATTGAACTTATTGAAGCATAATAATTATTTTCTAACATTTTAGTGCCTTAGATTTACTGAAATGGAAAACAAGATACTGGTGATAAAATATGATGATATACATACATCTACAATGAAGTGTTGCATTTCATTGTTATTTTTTTATTTGTGGCAGGAAGTAGTGACAAATGATAGTAATGTCAGTATAAAGGCTAATTTAGTCTTGCTAATTATAAATTACTATTTTTTTCTTTATTAAACCTTCTGGATATACATTCAGTACAGTTAATTTTCTCTTATACTGTTATTTAATTTTCTTCTCACCATTCTAGAAGTTGGAATCATAGATAAATCTCATTATAGAAGAACTCATACAGTTTCAGTAGTAAAGTATAGAAATGTGCTTTACTATGTGCTAGTAGAAGCAAGTAACTTACTTTACTCCAGCTATCCTAATTAACCCAGATCTTATTAAGAACATAATGACTGCTTTTGATGTTGGTGTATGAAAATGGAAAGTGTGTTGTTAAAGAATTATTTTTTGAAGAGTGGTGCAATGAGTATAACACCAATTGAAGGAAACTGTACAAATTTAACTTAGCAATTATCAGAACGTTAACTAAGTTAAATGAGTGTTATTGCTGTCACTATTTTTAGAAGTAATTCCAAATTTTGAGATATTAATTAACAACTAGATACATTTATTTTAGAAAAATGTTAAGTTTTTAATTTCTCATTTTGAAAACTGAATCTTGTAAAACAGACTTCTAGATCTGATAATAGATAATGCTGAAATAATTCACTTTGTAGCTTTAGTTAAATTTCCTGTTTTTAGTTGTGAAGGATTAGTTTGATGAAATACTTTCCAGTTAAACCACACCATATTCTGATTTAAAGATTTATTGAGACATGAAATTTGGTTGCATTTGTTTTGATGGAAAACATGAAACAGGATATTTATTCTTTGTACTGAAGTTAAATCTGAAGTAATTTTCTATCAGATTCCTTAATTTGTATCTCACCCTTGTACTTTTTTTTTGTGAATTAAATATGTAAAGTCATGTTAACATGAATATAATTTGATAGAGACAAAATGGAAAGCTTAACATGTAATAACATGGGATCAGAATTATTCTACTAAATAATTTATTTGTAATCTTTTACCCATATTTTGGACATTAAAGTGAAGTTTATGACTTTTTACCTGCTTTTTGAGAATTGTTGTTGTGTTATTACAATTTCTAAACACAACTATTCAAAAATAGGGCTAGTAGTAGGTGAGATTATGCCTCAGTTATATATTTTATGAACCAAATAATAGAACATAAAAAATTGTCATTTCTTTTCAAGAATTAAATTTTTTTAGCATTTCTTATACATCCAATAAAACTATATGTATTCAATCAGCAATCTTGTGTTAACTCTCAATGCAGCATTACTTGTATATCAGTGTATATCCCTAACATATATATATATATCCTTTAGTAGCATCCTATCACACATATGTAGAACACTCCATTTATTTGCACATGCATTTACATGATCATATAATGTGTCAGGTGTTCACTTGAGTCTTATAAGTTCTGAGGTATAGTCATATTATTGTTCATCTACAAGCAATGAGTAAGAGCAAGGATCTCTGTGATTTTCAAAGAGGCATGATATTGGATGTCCATTTTGCAGGAGTAAGTATACTTAAGACATTTCTTTTTTTGTCTATTAACAGTGGAAACCTAAAAGTAATACACATGCCACTAGAAAAAATTGTGGACACCAACTGCTGGTAACAGACAGAGAGAAAAGACAATTAAACAGACTTTACCTTGTGTCTCAATTGACTGAATCCTTAATCAGTAGTAAGAAACTTGCCTGTTGTCAACTGCACAATGTGAAGAACATCACAAAACCTGCTTATCCCAAATTTAAACAGGGAAGCACAACTTCAATAATGTTAAGAGCATACATTATGAATAATAAAACATTGAAGTATATGCCTGATGAGTAGCATTTAATAGTTTTCTATTCTGATGGTAGGAAAAAAATTATGGAAAATTATGGTTTGTTTCAACATGACAAGTTTCTGGAGGTGGTGTGATAGTATGGAGAATATCAAACTGGTGTATTTACATGTTTTAAATTGTGGCGGATTGCTACAAGTTCTTCAAATACCTATAGAATAATAGGTTTCTTTTTGGTGAGTGTAAAACATGTAAATACGCTAGTTTGATTTTCGAAAGCTCACTAGTATGAAGGCTTGGTTTGGTCTGATATTTCACTGGTGGGAGTGGCCAGGGTCACTGATGAGGAGTGGAATTCTCCGAAAATAGTCTGGCTCATTGACACACACACCCCAATGAAAGAATAGA